TCACAGTCCAAGCACTTTTAAACAACACCCAGATATTTTTGGGCAATAATTTAATATTTTTTTGGTGTCTGAAAAATGAGCCGTTTTAAAATGTGACATCACAAATCACCTTAGCCCAACCCGTTACCTAGAGCTCCAGCATGTTTGGTCAGTTGGTTTCACCGCTGTACAATGGCTGCTGGAAAAGACAGGTGTTTTGTTGTTGACTTACCATCCAGAAACTACCTGTTCTATTTATTTTGATTGGTCAGGAGCCTCCACTTCTGCTTTTCAAAGATGTAGGTTTGTATAATTGTGTATCTGTTTGCAGCCATTTTCACGTACGGGTGTAAACATTGAGTTGGGCCCAGAAGCAGTTTATTTGGATTTAAATTGACAGAACCCGAGAACAGCTCAAAACAAGCAGAACTGAGCAGACTGAAATATCATTATCTAAGAAAGATTTTTTGCGAAAAATTTTAATGAATTTGTCTCGTATAGCCCATAGAACCAACTTAACCTGTAAATTTCACATCACATCAGACACTGTAATTCCTCTCTGCCAAATAATTTAATTGCAACAAAGAGTTATCATTTCCCAAACATGTGTAGAGGATTATGACCTTTGACCTGTATTTATCTGGTGTTAAAGCAGCTGATTTTCCTTCCCTCTCATTCAGGCTACGCTCTGCCTCTGGCTTTATGTGTTCCTGCATTATTTGCTGCAACTGTGCTGCTTCTCTACAAATGGAAAACAATGAGGGAATCTGATGGTAAGCTGACATTAAAATACATTTCAGGATTTATTTAATAGAAAACACCAGGAAAAGAATGAGATGACATCTGAGCCGTGTTGCATAGGTTCGACCAGCAGGAGGCAGTCAAGCAGCAGCAGCAATAACAATAGGAGACGGAGACGCACCGAGGTGGATCAACATCCTGGTTTTTGTTTAAACTGGAGGTTAATTTTTAATTAATGATCTTAATTTGAATTTTATCCTTTTTACAGTTTTCTGCCTCAAAGTTTACAAACCGGACGCCTCCACCCGACGGTCAACAACAACTTTACTATAACCTCTGAGGCCAACGGCATTCCAGGAATTAAAATAAACGTTTTCATTAATAGATTCAAGTTCTGCACCAGTTCTGTTCACCAAAACAGCAAAAAGCCATCAGATCAGAGGAGACTGCAAACGGGTTCAGCTCTTCGGTTTGTGTCGCTAAACCTTAGCAAAGCTCAACAACTTTCTCAAAGAAAGCTTACAAACTTGATCTGTAAGCACATAATCTTGTGCTTACAAATCAAGTTTTGTAGCTTAGTGAAATGAAATGTCTGAGAAATACAGATTTGTTCATCTGCAAAAATAATTCTAATCAATGTTTGGACATTTGTAGAAGGTATCTGTGTGTCTGTAAAAAAAGAGTTTTAATTGTAATTCAGTTTTGCATCGTTTGTAAAACCTCAGACAAATACAAGAAGGAAAATCTAACTGAAAACTCCTCTGTATGCAAAGCACTTACAAAGACATCATGTCAATTCAATCAGGCATACATTCCAATTAATAATTATTAAACATTAAGTATTAAGCTCTCTTAACTTAGTAAAAAAATTAGTTCAAATTAGTAAAAACAAAAAGTTTAAATCTAAGGAAACGAATTGTATCGATTCTGACTTGCAGCGTTCATTCCTCCAGGATGCAGCCGGCATGCATGTGGCGACAGTGGAGAGGAAAAACTCCCCTTAAAAAACAGGGCTAGTTGAGACCAAAGCACCAGACTGATGACTTTAATGGTTCAATTTTGGTAGAAAGAGAGAAAAGAGATAAATCATGCAGGTGGAAATTATTGAGTTCATTTTGATTTAGTATGCAACTAATTGATTTATTGCTAATAGCAACAGGCTTATATGTGTTTGTGTATTAATGAATGTAGAACTGTTATTGTACACGTATGTGATTACATACGAGTATCATAGGTATAATTTATTTTTGTTACACTAGAGAAATGATTTTTTTCCCTTATCTTAAACCAAAATCTGTCTCTTTAAAAGTGATGGAAAACAGAATATAGTATTTTAATACTTCATCTGTAATGTGATTTTTTTGTTTGTAAATGTAATCTGTGTTTTATTTTTAATATAAACTGAACTGAGGAAGAACAGCTGCTACATCAAGCTGCTGATGCTGTTGTGGATCACAGTAAACAAACATAAACCTGAGGTTCATACTTTCACTTTCCCACATTTCCCAGAATCTTCTGCATAAACTCATCTGGCCTTGTTGATAAGATGATGCTGTTGTGATAATGTGTTTCTTACATTCACATTTTATTTTGCTTTCTTCTGGGTTTACATTGGTGTAATTTGGCGCAGTGTTCACAGACTTGTTTAAAAATGCACACATGCATTCACGCAGACTTGCATAGCTAAAAACACACACTCACCCTCAACTCACTGCCTCTGTTGGCACCCAGAACAGCAATCTAGGTTGATGTGATGCACCAGGAGGCAGCATTGCTCACTGTGGTGGTCTGTGGTGGAGAACCCCGTGGCTGCAGCCTCAGGCACCCGCCTACCCATGTCTTATGTTTGTTTTTTGCTCTTGGACAGACTGTACTGAATTTTTTGATTTCCCGATGAGGGATTAATATTCGATCATTCAAGTTATTTCAGGAAAGGTGGAAAATAACAGACATTTATTAAAGCTGGCATAAATGGCAACCATAACAGTCAGTGCCATTTGTTGCACTTTCTCCTTTCCAGCTGAAATTGTAAGCAGTGGTTTCTGTAATGTTATTTCCACCATTAATGAAATGAAACCTACAAAGGAAATAAAAATCATTCTAGAGGTTTACAGCAGTTATGTAGTACTGAGTACAGTGAGTTGAAGCCACATTCATGCAAGCAGGCGTAGTGTGTTGTATTTTCATCATCATTGTTACGCTTAGTGTGGATATGATGGAAACATGGTTTGATCTAACCAACCCCATTTCTCCTAAAATCTACAATCACCTTCTGTGTTTTGTTCGCTTTAAAGACGAGATGATCGCAGAACTAAACTGAGTCGAGACTTTTTCTGACTCTGCCGTTAAACGGACAATGGCGTCATCGTGTGGCCAGATAAAACTACCACACTATGGCGATGGCTGGCAGCAACTTCCTTAAATTACAGCATGTGTTGAATTCAGCTGTTCAGCTTTAAAAACAATAATAAAATTTTCTACATTTAAGGAGATGACTAATCTACCTTCCTGTCTTCCTCCCTCCTCTCCACTTTGGTTTTTAAATGTTCCTTCTTAGAACAGGCTCAAAAACTGTCTTCCAGTCTTTGACAGCTAACAGTGATGTATGATAAAAACTGAAATATATTCATCAGAATAATTTTCTTATTACGATCATTCCCAGCTTGTCACATGTGATGTAATAAAATATCATAGTTCACAATGCCAATATCTACAGTCAAATCTAAAAGATTTGGTCTGCAGATATCAATCAGCTGGTGATTGATTTTTAATCAGTAATAACTTGTTTCTCCTCTTTCCCAGGAAGCACCGCTTCCGAGTGGAGCATCACTATGTAATATGATGACCATAACAGTTCTGGACTTACTTTCAGATTCATTTTTGTCACTTCCTGTTTTGTGCCCATTTTATATAAGCAGAGTGTATGAACAAGAGCCTCCTATTCTCTACTCTGAACGCAGCAGCACTCTGACATCTAACAAAGTCTGAGCTTCACCACTGAAGTAAGTGACTAAATAATGCTGAGTTCTTTGACAACAGAGGTTTGAAGTTCATTATAGCTAATTTTTCTTTACTGATGTTTGATTTTTATCATGCTGAGTTTGTGAAAATTATATCTTCCGTAGTACAAGAGAATGTAAATTTTTAATTATTAATGTGAAAATTAAATGCATTTCCAACATTGTGCTCCTTTCTTTCAGAAGGAACCACTTTATCCTGAAGATGGCAGGTAGGCGAGTTCCCATATTCCTTTAACCCATTGCAAGTTCTTTTGGGAACAGACATTTACTAAAACTGGCAACCATAACAATCGTGCCATTTGTTGTGCTTCTGTAGCAGTGTGATGTTATTACACTAGATTGCAAAGTGCAACGCTATTCCATTAGGAACTCATCTGAATAGTACCAGCTTTTATTTTGAAAAGACGGCACATCCCTTGTAAACAGCGGGTAACTTCCTGTTTCAAAATTATTTTTATTTAAATTTGGTGTGTTATAAAGGAAAATGTAAATTGTCATCTCTACTGTTAAACATATTGAGTTCATATATTGTTGTTTTGAGTGTCAGCTTGGGGTTTAAGAAGAACAATTAACGGGGTCCAGTGAAAGTTAGAGCATGTCTGCCTTCTGCAGGTGATACAATCTAGGAATAGTCTATTTAATAAACCAGTAGAGTATTTCTAATACACTACAGGATTTTCCTTTTTAAAATATTAAGATGATATACTTGTCTGACCTCTGTATTTGTTTGTGGGGCAGGCGTCTCTGCTGATTCATCTGGGCTCCTGGAAGTGATTGACACCTATGACCGTCCTGGTAAAGCCTACACTGAAGATACCTACGCACGAGCACGGACGTATGCAATAGAAGGAGGGGAGGACAAACCAAGGATGCGTGTTCCCAAAGCAGGAGCTTACGCTGAAGCTGGAGTTGGCAAAGCCCGGGCTGAATGGAGTGTCTTTGAAGCTGAAGCTAATGGACCCAACGCCAGCGCAGGAGCCGGCGCCAACCCACTGGGTGCCTCAGCTTTTGCCAGAGCAGAACTGGCAAGTGCTTCTGCCGCCGCTGGTCCAGTGAAAGTTAAAGTTGGTCTGGCAGCCGATACTGGGGTTTCTGTTGGTGCACAGGGGCTGGAAGTTAAAGTGTTGGGAACCGGCTTCACCATTGGTGAAAGGCCGGGCGTGTCTTTCTTAGGCAGTGAGCTTGAATGCTGTGTGTCATAGTTCAGAAAATGTTTTCCATATTTGCTCTTTCAAAAGTTCCTTTACACAGATTAAAATCAAAACAGATTCTGTCCCCATGTTAACTAGTTTGTCTGATTTATGAGTGTTCATCTTACTTTTGTCCACGTTCACATAGTCTGTACCTAAAATGATCAAATCTGTAATAAAGATGTATTGATTTACTTATTTTTCTGGTTTTGCTTTCAGATTTGTTTGCATTTTGTCTCTGTTCCAAACATCCATTTGTGAGCCTGTACCCTCTAATGTTGCTCATAAGCAGATTGAAACACAGAGTTTATCCCTCCACTATCAGGCTGAAACTGGTGTCATAGGAGCTGAAGGCTCTAATACATGTATGGAAATGCACCGTTTCAAACACTGTTTCTCCTCTTTTTTGAATATAAGCAAAACTGATGCAAGCAGGAATAAATGATGTATCACATTAAAAAAGTTATTCAACAAAAGCAAGACAAGGGTGGAGGAGACATGTGAGCAAACCTCGAGTCAGCAAAAAATAAAAATTCTCTACACAGCAAAGATGTTTTATGATCTGTTTTCATATAAACAAACATACTGTATTTTCCGCACTATAAGGCGCACCGGATTATAAGGCGCATAGAATAGACGCCAGAGACAGTAGAGGCTGGAGTTA